AATTTATGAGGAATCCACGTGTAGATTTAAGGTTTTCAGAAAAGGAAAATTCTCAAAAAAGGTAAAAAAATAAGTTTCATTTATGAAAATTATAGTTTTCCTTTCCCTAATAGGTAAGTACAATTAGACTGATTATTTCAATTAAGGAGGTATTACAAAAGATGGAGTGCAAAGGTTTTATTGTCTTATGTCTTTCTATTTACTTCAAAAAGCCTTCGGTAAAAGACACCCAGTATAAAAGCCTCCGTAAAAAACTGGCGCCCTCCCGCTGATGTAAACACGAAAATTTCGGCATCCTGCGCACGTTTTACCACTTGACTCGTCGCTACTGACGGACCTTTGGAACCTTATATGGAATTGCCTAGGGAAAAAACGCATATTTGAACAGGAAGATTGATGGACTTGCATAGACTGATAGGAATTTCGCTTTTGAAATGTTCGAATTCCATAACCGGGCGGATTGAAAAGGTTTATTCTTAATTTGGTTTTTATATGAACCAAAATTCTATTTCACAATAGGTAGGTATACATTTCCACAATTCAAATCAAAATTTTAGAAACACTGAAGTAAATTATTTATACGTTGCACCCCTGGCAAGTCAAAAGTGAATCGTTAAACAAAAAGAACAAAACAAAATTAATACGTTGCGTTATTATGTCGGGCATTCAAAGGTTCGTAATCAATGCCATCGATCTAATGGCGAAGATGGCATTATCCTTTCGTGAATACATCTGTGCCGTCGAAAAGAAAAAGTCATACACGTTCGTTTCAATGAAGGACCAGGCGTGTAACTTATTTTTTTCCTTTTTTCTTAGCGACGATCCCAGGCGGTCGGTGCTGCACAAAATGACATTCATTACGGAACAATTGCAAGAGAGACGGAACAAGAATGGGCCCATTGTGAGATCTTGAATGTACCCCGGACTTATCGCCATTGGAACATCGGAAATAGTATACACGGTGGCCCATAAACTTAAAAATTAAAAATTTTTAACAGTGACGGTGCGTAAATGTTGATTTCGTTGTTATGGCAAATGCCAGGAAATTAAATAGGAGCTGTCATAGCACTAATAGTAATCTATCATACGCCATACAAATAAATATTCTATTACTACAACCAAAACGAATTTAATGCTAGAAAGAGTTTGTCTATTAAACGGTTTCGATGATGATGAATCAGATCCAAAAGTGCACTCGAACGAAAATTATAATAAATACACTTCAATAATTGCAAGTGAGGATAATGTCAAATTTTGCATATCACTAAAAGGATTTCGCAAAACCAAGAGTTATCATTTTCAAAAACTCGCATAACCACCTTTTCCTCTTTGGATTCTCTCCAATTTTTTCTAAGGACGTTGACAACATCCTTAGGTACTATACTCATCTTAATAACAAGCATATCATCATCATAAGGTCGTCAGTCCTAAGACTGGTTGGACAAGTACCTCGACTCTTTCCTATCCTGAACTAGAACATTCCACATTCTTAACTATTTGTGAACAATAATCTGATCTAGGTCTACATCTTCTCCTCCTAACTCCTGTTTCTGCCTATAATATGTGTCTGACTAGACCTTCATGTCTGAGAAGGTGTCCTACCAACCTATCTCGCCTATTTCTTATTGACTTCCATAGAGTCCTCTGTTCTCCTATTCTTTCTAATACCTGTTCATTTCTAACCTTCTCTATCCACGGTATCCTCATCATTCGCCTGTAACACCGCATTTCGAACGTTTCTAACCTTTACTTCTCCAAACATACACCTTTAACAATCTTTTTCAAATTTATAAATTAACTGTTCTCGAGCATATAATGGCATTTAATTTTATTTGTTTCTGATGTGGCGTACCAAAACTGATAATCTTGAAGGCAATTTTGAAAGGCAGAAAAAATGTTTCTTAAAGAATAGGAGAATAGAGGACTCTATGGAAGTATAGGCGAGATAGGTTGGTAGGACACCTTCTCAGGCATGAAGGTCTAGTCAGAGACATATTAGAGGCAGAAACAGGAGTTAGGAGGGGTAGAGGTAGACCTAGATTAGATTACTCTTCGCAAATAGTTAAGGATGTGGGCTGTTCTAGTTTTAGGGAAATGCGAAGTTTAGCTCAGGATAGGAAAGAGTGAAGGTACGTGTTCAACCAGTCTTAGGACTGATGACCTTATGATGATGATGAAAATTGTCATAGTGATTATAAAACGAAAGCATGGTAAAACAGGAATTTAAAAGTATACCATTTATTTTTAATTATAAGTAGATATGGAACTCTTCTCTAACATAAATGAAAAAAAAAATTAATATTGATGGGAAAGTTCATTTTGACCGAAATTTATCCGCACCAAATATATCCTTTTATGGTGCATAAAAAGAGCGTTTTATGACAAACATTGTTTTTTATTGGTTTTGTGACAATGTAAAAACATAGTGTAAACAGTTGTTAAGAATGGTGGCCAAAACGAATACTATACAATAAAAAATTTTGATATCTAAATTTATGAGCAGTTGTGCAAAGTGGATAGCTTCTTTTAGAGCGATTTTCAAAACACAATAATGTAGTTTATGTAAAAGCTGTAGTCACCAAGATAATTTCTAAAAAGGATAATTTGCTAGTTTGCAAAGCTAAAGGCTATGAAATTATAGGACGTTTAATATTATACAATTATTTTAAATGGGGGAGTTAGGAATATAATTTTAAGATTTTAATGTTAATCTATTTTTATCCAATGTTTCTTAAAGGGTCGAAGTCATTATTTTTTTGCCTTTCTTCATTGACATCGTTAGTAGTTGAAAATGCACTCAAATATGATTCGATTAAGCCTTGTTCTTCCTTAAATTTTTCAAATTAGGTGTCAATAACGTTAGAATCATTCCACATCACTCATATTTCAAATCTAACCGCTTGAATGATCAGAATTGAAGTTAACTACAAAGTGCCGACATCTTGTATAAGATTTATAAACTATTCTGTTAAATCCATCATTTTCCTAATATAATTACATCATGGGATCACGATATCAATCACCCTGTAGGTAAACTACTACATCCTCGCAATTCCAACATCATTGCACCGTTAATCTAAACTAAAACTTTCTTCGGGCATTTCAAGGTTTCACTGTATTTTCATCACGAATTCGTAAAGTTGAAACACATAAATCGTCGTTTTCTTAGAATAAGGCGAGATAAATGAATTCAATTCAATAATTGTGCCGGCGTAATTTTTCTTTTGTGCTGGAATTCTACACACGTACGTTATCTCTACGGAAACGGATGGGCTTGGAGGAATAAGCTGGCTGGATTGGCTTAAAGAAATCAGAGATTAAACTATCAAAGATCTATTTGAAAACGTAGAGCGCTATTTGTTAATTGAAGTAATAAATTTTGGGAAGTCAGGAAGCAAATCCTTACGTTTCAACGTTTGCATCAGGAAGTCAAACAATATTTAATAAACGCATTCTTCTGTATTCCATTAAAACGAGTTCTCGATACAAGGCGGATAGATGATCATTTAAATTATTGTTTAAAATTCCAGAAGGTTAATTAGCAATCGTATATATAGTCAAATTTTATTCAGTTCATGGAGATCGAGATCAATCATTAGAGAGGAGAGTGAAGCAGGGACAATGATAAGACGGGTGCTCATCTTCACTGACCCCAAGGTTCTCCTGCTATTTTGTACGTACCTTCAGGTAGTCTATAGCAAGGTAGGCAAATATTACGATTTAATTATTTATTAATTATCGTTCAATTAATATTTTAATTACTTTAAAATCAATGACATTTTCCTTTGGTCACTGGGAAACCCCTATTTTTATAATCTATTTTAAGCTCAAACAGTTTGATTATCGCAAGGAGATTCGAAATACTTTTGTAATTCTTGACATTTGAAATTCTAAGAATGATTATGTAAACTCCAAGAACTGTTTTCTGCCAGTTTATCCATAAAACAAGAGCAAATAACTCCAACAACAACAATACTGTAATGAAAAATTGAAACTACTTACTCCTTAATCTTATGCGCGCAAATGCTTTTATGCTCGATTAGCGAGTTAAATCTACACAAGCATAAAACAGAACGAGGAAATATCCATGTAGCTGAAATGCTCTGTAAACTAGATGCAAATTTTCTTATTCTAAAACGTTAAAAGGGCCGTCAAAACTAAGATAAATATCCTATATGTGCGCCTTTATTATTTACGATTAGTACCAAGGTATTAGGTACTTCTTTTTACTGTGGTAGCCTGGCAGTGGTACCTGGATATATATTAGATGTAATCAGCTTCATATTGGAATTAACCCACGCATATGTACGACCATTTACTTGTTTTACAGGACATCTCGTAAATTATACCGTCTGAAATCATACAATACAACTATCAGACGCCAGCAGGGATAAACGCCAGTTTGTGATTAATTAACACTCTAGGGTTGACCACCATTAACATGTATGCATATTTTAAGTTGTACTTCACTGATTTATTAGTTTTTAACTCAACCTAATGATGCCATTACAATACGCATGTTAAATATGAGACTAAACGATCTCTTAGCATCCACATACCTACATAACATAAGTAAATTGTCCACTCGTATTTTACATATTCATTCGTTTAATTTTTATTAAGGCCCTTAATCAGTTTGAAACAATAAGATAAGATTTTGTTTTATTTGCATATTTACTAGTAATTATTGAGATTGGCCATTCTCAGGCCTTATTAGAAACTACATTTGCAATATAAAACACAGCTGGAGACTAAAACTTTGTGAAATATTTCAATCATTTTTGATTTATAGTTTATTATTCATTAACGTATAGGTCATGCAATAATTAATGAAATTATTTTAATGAGGTAAGTGCATAAAGGGCCTGAAAATATTGAGAAACTAGTTGTACTTATAGTTTTAATTTATTTAATCGTTAAACCTAAAAAAATAACTTTTATATCCCCACTTCTAATGGAGGTCCTCCTGTCTAAATAAATAGTAATTCGTAGGTCAAACAAATCGAAGAAGAAAAATAATATAAAATAAATTTAAGGTTAGAAATGCTTCATAATTGCAGCGTATATAAACAATTTTGGAGAAATAATGCTATCGTTGGTTAATTATGCCAGTAGTGATGATGAAAATGACTCAAAAAATGAAGAAAGTGCTCCTCATAAGACAGAAGACGTTCCTAACCCCGAAAAACCTAGTGACGATTCAGAATTCTCTGTAAAGAAGCAGTTGCAAATTTGTGCAGCCCCCCTTGTTATTCCTACTGTAAGTTAATAAAGTGAGTTTAGGAACTGTTCTACGACATAAATGTTTTAGGGTTCAGAAGAATGTGCAAGGTATGTGGATCCGTCAGCTTCAGAAGTCCTATTTAATCCCAAATATGATGAGCTTTTTGCACCTATGGTTGGTCCTGAAAATCCTTTTAAAACTCAACAAATGCAGGCAGAGAGGAACATATTGTCTGGATATGTTGAACCAGCACATATAAGTGAATTTCAATTTGAAAATCAAAGAAGAACTTTTAACAGTTATGGTTATGCCTTGGATCCAACTATAGGTGAAACTACTGACCCAAATAAAGTTGTGGGATCTAGCCAATTAGCAGAGGAAAGTAAAGGAAAGACAGTGTTTGAAAGTACAAAGTTACGACCATTAGATAAACGAAAAAGAAAGAAGAATAATGATCCAAGTGATATAGATGGATTTCTTGGACCTTGGGGTGGCTATGAAAATGAACAGAGGGTTGTTAAGCCTTCTGAAGAAGAGGCTGCAGAACTGGAAGAACTTGTTTCCAAAAAGAACAAGAGAGGAAAGATTGTAGAAGAAAATCCTATTGAAGAAAAGACAACATTGCATAGTGAGTTCTTTTTAATCAAAAGACTAAAATACAAATTTATATCTATATATTTTTTTATTAGTTAAAGATGCTGTGGACTATCAAGGACGCTCATTTCTACATGCTCCTCAAGATGTAGGTGTCAATTTACGTTCAGATTCACCACCTGAAAAATGTTTCTTACCAAAAGCTCATATACACACATGGTCAGGTCATACAAAAGGAATTGCAGCAGTCAGATGGTTTCCACGCACTGCACATTTGTTACTTTCAGCAAGTATGGATTGTAGAATAAAGGTAAGGATCTCATACAAAAGTTATGTAATGAATGAAATTTTAAATCCATGCATTTTAGTTATGGGAAGTATATAATGAAAGAAGATTAATTCGAACTTACTTTGGTCACAGGCAGGCTGTTAGGGACATCAATTTCAATAACTCAGGAAAAGCATTTTTATCTGCTGGTAAATACTTTGTATTATATATTTTTGTAATGTATAATTTTAAATTTATATTTTTTGAAGCTTATGACCGTTACATAAAAATGTGGGATACTGAAACTGGTCAAGTAATGTCTCGATTTACAAGTAGAAAAATCCCCTACTGTGTTAAGTTCCATCCTGATAAGAACAAACAGAACTTATTTGTAGCAGGGACATCTGATAAAAAAATACTATGTGTATGTTCACTTATTCAAAATAAACCACAAGAATGACTTAATTAATTTTGTTTTTAGTGGGATATAAGATCTGGGGATATTGTTCAAGAATATGACCGACATTTAGGAGCTGTGAACACTATTACGTTCGTAGATGAAAATAGGCGCTTTGTAACTACATCTGATGACAAAAGCTTGAGGGTGTGGGAATGGTATGGATATTATTGTATTTATGGAGTTTTATTGGTGGTAAATGGTTCCTATAAATTTTAGGGACATCCCAGTAGATATGAAGTATATTGCCGACCCTACGATGCACTCAATGCCCGCTGTTACTTTGGCCCCAAATGGAAAGTGGCTTGCATGTCAGAGTATGGACAACAAAATTGTAATTTTTTCAGCATTAAACAGATTTAAGATGAATCGGAAGAAAACATTTACCGGGCATATGGTAGCGGGATATGCGTGTTCATTAGACTTTTCGCCAGACATGAGGTAATAAAACGTTACTAAAAAAATATTGAAGCTGTTAATTACTGTGTTATTTCAGTTATTTAGTGTCAGGTGACGCAGATGGTAAGTGTTATATTTGGGACTGGAAAACAACAAAATTATTCAAGAAATGGAAAGCCCATGACAACGTTTGCATCAGTGCCCTTTGGCATCCCCATGAACCAAGCAAAGTAGTCACTGCAGGATGGGATGGTGTTATCAAATACTGGGACTAAGTAGCCGTTAAGCATGTACAAAAATTATTTAGTGTATATGTTACTATATGTTCTTATCACATTACCAACAAAACAAATAAACATTTTATTTTTGATGGGTTTGTGCATTATGAATGGTTCCGACCAAACGCAACGCAACATTCCCGTAGACGTGATAAGGGATGGTTTAAACAATACAATTTTATTTTACATAAATAAGTTAATGAACTAAAATAATCCCCTAGACGTGATAGGGGATGATTTAAACAATACAATTTTATTATATATAAATAAAGTAATGAACTAAAGTAATCCCCTAGACGTGATAAGGGATCGTTTAAACAATATAATTTTATTATACATAAATAAATTAATGAACTAAAGTAATCCCCTAGACGTGATAAGGGATCGTTTAAACAATATAATTTTATTATACATAAATAAGTTAATGAACTAAAGTAATCCCCTAAACGTGATAAGAGATGGTTTAAACAATACAATTTGAATGAACTAAACATAACTTTCATCCTTCGACTTATCTTTTGGTGAAAGAATATACAATACAATATAAAAAAGAATTATTCCTATTTCCTTCCAATAGTGCATCATATCTATGAACAGAATTTAAACGGAACGAAGTGCGCAAGCCGCTCCACTGATACATGTTTGCCTACATATGACCTACATAATCATCACAATCAGCTGTTATGAAGGTCCATGATCATGATTGTGTACAAACACGCAAATCGTAAGTGATCGTCATGATGTTTATAAAAATAGGTTCATAGTAACAATGAAACAAAGAAGATCAAAATTTTAAACAAAAACTATGTTGCATCAAAATTAATCAAGTTTTAACGTACTATATTGGTATTTGCCTAAATCGTAAAGTTCTATATCAGGTAGGTACCTAGATAATTTTTTATATATAGCATTTATGACATTGTTTATATTTTAGATTAAATGACACTGCATTGTAACACAATTACGCAACTCGCTGCCCTTTTACGGGAAAATGGAGATAAAATATTGGACGCTTCAAGCAGACTGTCCCTTTCTTCCAGTTTGTTACATAATCTTAATCAGTCTATCATTACAGTGCTATCACAAGAGACAGATGATATGGATGAACATTTGGATTTGAAAATCGTCTACGACTTTTTACAGCAAACAGTAGCACTTAAAGTTTTGCCAGACTTTGCACATTTCAGAGACAAAGCTCAAACTATTGATATATGCTTATTTAAAAACCTAACATTGCTTGAAATTAAATGGTTAAGTCTTAAACTAATAAAGGGTATAAAAAGTGTTCGCACACAGTTAGAATATTTAATATGTATGCATAGTTTGAATGCACTACATGAAGTGTTGGAAAGTTGTGGAGATGACAAGTGTCAGGGTTTTATCTGGAGTAAATTGAAAGAGGCTGTGTTTAGTTATAATGGTTTATCCAATTTGGATAATAGTTTAGAATTTACACCATGGTTGTGTTCTCTTGACTTAAGTCACAATAATCTCAGTAATGTTGAATATTTAAGTTGTCTTCCGAATCTTACTTTTTTAAATTTATGTTATAACAAACTCGAAAATGTACCCTATTTAAGGGGTGAAATTTGCACTAACCTAAAGAAGCTTATTTTACATAACAATTTTATTGATAATATCAAAGAACTTTCGCCTTTGAGTAGCCTTGAAGTTTTAGATTTACGAAATAATAGTTTAGTAGAATACGGTGCCTTAGTACCACTTGGTGGCCTATCTAAATTAAATAAGTTGTTTCTTAGTGGGAATCCTATGTCGTTTGATTCTAAATACAAGCAGATAACTGTTCAATATTTAAACCCTACACTTTCTGGTACAAAATTTCTGTTAGATAGCTCCTCACTCGGTCATGTGGAGAAACAATTGTTAGGTACAAAATTATCTTATTTACCTTCACAAATGAGTAATTCTCATTTTGATTCACTTGATTCATTAGCCAGTAATAATACTGTCATCCCCTTTCAACAAAATTTTCCAACAGACAATAATAATTCTCAGATGTCAGATACCGATGCAAGTTCTTTTACGACCACTGACAATGAACCAGAAAATGGGGAAAATGATAATGATGGGGATGGTAAAAGTATAGATAGATTTAATAGAATATGGCCAATTCTGGAAGAAAGGGGCGAAGTTGCGATGAATGATAGTGGAATTGTAGCAGGAAACAGGCCAGACACTCCGTCCGTATGCAGTATTGGTAATACATATTGCAATTATAGATAATAACTAACGCTAAACTTAAACAAACGCTATTGCCTTAAAATACTAAATGACCTAAAGATATTTATAAAATTTTCTGTTGTATTTACGTAAAATACTAACTTGTTTTGTGGTTAGAATAGTCCATACATCTAACTAGTTAAGATCACAGTTCATTAATGTCCACTAATTAGTATTTAGTACATCACTACACTGATTACTGTACTGTTTTTAATTTACAAAACCGTCTAAAACAAATTTAGTCATACTGTCATACTTATCACCACTTTCCGTTAGCACTTTGCTTTTGAACTGCTTATAGATGCATTGCGGCTAAAATGATGGCTTCGTTTGTATCAGTGTTGCCACCTGTAGACTATTGTTTAGGTTTATTTTACTAATATGAAGTAATACCTTTTTAAGGATCAGCTAGCTCTCTAATAAATAACGAACCAACGGGAATTCTTGCCACCACTACTATTTTTGCTGATGGTTACGAAAGTGATATTGAAATTTTAAGTAACCCAAGTCAAAGTAGTATCGAAGTTTTACACAGGTTCTCAACAAATTGCAGCTGACGAATGTGTTCTTGTTTTTTCGTTTTTATTTGTAGGTACTTACATCTGAATACATTTCTTTTAACTAATGTAATATTTATATATTGTAAAGGTTCTCAGGTTAAAATGTATTGAATGTGCTGAAAATATTTTTGCTGTACCTATCTACTATTTCTTTTTTGCAAATACACCTGCTATTTTTTAATAAAAGTGTTTTAATTATGATTATTTAACAAAATATACCTACTTGAAAATTATAGCAATAAAAAAAATTACGTGTGAAAAACTGAATCTATGAGTAGGCACTCCGAAAAGTGTTTTAAACAAACTACTAAATGAAATGCAGTTGTTGAACTTTTTTCATATTGATGGTTATCAGCAATGTTAAAACCGTCTAGTTAAAATCACAAGTGTAAAAAATATTTTAGTTACATTGACCATTACAATTCACTCGTTTTCATAAATTTTATATGCTCCAAATGGTTTATTGTTATGGTAGTTATTAGCTGCTGAATATCCATAAATACTACGCCCATGCAATTTTCTCAACGGGATATATCTGCCATAATGGGAGAGCAACAAGGAAACAAATGGATTGAGTGGCAGTAGTTCCGGATGATTGGATTTGGAGATTGTTGGAAAACGATACAAATAAGAGTTCAAAGCTAATGCTGGAATTAGAGGATTCTCAGTATCCGTTGCTCCAGAATCGATTTCCTCATTGTTTGTATGAGCCAATGAATAATATAATTGCTTACCTAAAAATGAGATTATCCACGTTAATTAAACATTTACGATCCTACTTATGTAGGATTGACTACAACTCAATGATCAATCATAGCAATTTGATAAAAAAATTATTGTCTTTTTACCTTCATAATCTCTTTTATCCAATGATTTTTGTTTAAAATGTTGGTGGATTTTTGGTTGCAATGCCACTAAAAAATTAGTGGAAGCGTTGTTCTCAATATTGTATTTCGTTGCTGTCTTTAACCCATCGGAAGATACGAATCCTTCCGTTGATGTGCGTATTACAATTCCTTTGGAACATATTACAGCAATAGCTAACAGTGAGGAAAGAAAGCTCACCTGAAAGGAGAAAAAATTTAATTGGTACATGGTTTTAGTTATGTGCGATTTTAAATTACTACTGTAATAAATAATAATGAATGTATGTAGGTTACTGCTAGCTGGCTACGAATATCTTTTTGTGGTGAGCATGTATTAACATATTCAATTTCAATATTTTATTTCTTCATACGTACTAGTGCAGGACAACAGAAAGCTAACGTTAATCAAACAGCTTCCTTAGGGTTATTGATAGATACCTACGTGTTTGGAGATAGTATCAGGGAAATCAGATTTAGAATATAAGTTAATAGTTATAATTTCTGCAGGGTTTTATAGATATTGTACGTCTAATGTTTACGTCTTTTCGTAGCAGAAATTTTAATAATTTTTTTTATCATTCAGGCTTGAGTAAAATTAGGTGCGTACTTTTATGAAACTTACAATGTATATTTTATGAAGGCAATAAATTTTTTGTGCATGTATTGATATGTTACAGTTTTTATATTTTTAATGATATATTAAATTTAGTGGAAGGGAGACAATGAATGTTAATAAACGTAATTCCATTAAACCATTTATATTTATACGCCCATGAAGGTTTTCTAATCATAATATCTAATTACCTAATTGTATAAAATAAATTGCGAATCGAATCTTTCAAAACAAATTCCCACACAAGCAATTAGTATTGGAAATTGATGAAAAACAAAAAATAGAAAAACCTTTTCTTGTTGTGTTCTAATCTTGTAGAAACGAGATGAAGTTTAACTTCTTACTGTTTTGTGTAACCTTCTTTTGGAAATTGAAAGTATTCAACAGTTGTAAGCTATTTCTTAAAATATTGAGTACAAGATGCTACTCTTGCACGATATGTTACAGCAACCTTAAATACAGAATCCTTAGAAGATGCCTATGAGCCAGAATTGAGAATTGTAGGTGGTGAGGAAGTACAAATTGAGAAATTTCCCTATATAGCTCAGATATGTATAATGGCGATAAGAATTTGCGGAGGCACAATAATTAAAAAGAATTGGATTGTCACTGCAGCTCATTGTACGTTTCGGTAAGTTTTAAGAAAGCGGAGGGTGCGAAAACGTTTCAAAAAGTAATAGTAGTAATAGATCTTGAAATCGAGTAAATTTTCACCAAGTAACGAAACATAGGTTTAGTGTAACAACGATTGGTGTGTGCTGCAAAAGAAATGAAAAGGTGAACCAAGATTTTTGCAATATCTACCTACCATAAATTGGGAAACGTGGAAGTAAAGTAAATTTTAATTTCGGCGTGGCGAAATACAATAAATTAATATTTTTAATGTTGGCGTCCGTGTGATGAGAAAACTTCATTGTGTTGTAATTGTGCAAATTCTAATTGTAGAGGTACTCTGCAAGAAATAAATGTTCGCGTAGGAAGTGATTTGAATTCAAAAGGTTCTGTTATTAGTTCGAAACAGAAAATAGAGCATCCGAAGTACGACGACTCCAATTTGGATTACGACGTCGCCGTGATAGAATTATCAGAACGTATTCCTGACAATATACCAGCTAAACCAATACGACTCCAAAGGAAGGGTGAAATTGTTAAAATTGGTGCCGTAGCTGATGTCTCCGGATGGGGATTAACTAATGAAACAGAGCTTCAAGAGCCTTTACACCTTCGGTCTGTTTCTGTTCCTATAATCAGTCATAGTCAATGCGCAGACTGGTATCAAGAAGAACAAATCAAAGAATTTGTAATTTGTGCAGGTTATGAGCATGGAATGAAAGATGCTTGTGTGGTAAGCTTTTATTTATATACACAATATGCATATATATATATATCAAGGAAAAATGAAAATGGAGTTCTGCGAAACTGAACTAATAAAATATTAAATCCCCAAAAAAAAAAGAGAAATACAGTTAGAGACTGTGACTGACGATGGTACTTTGGGTATAGAAAACTCATTTTAGTTTACAATATTGAGAATTTGAGGTTATAACGCAGGCACTTTACTTTTCGACATAATCCCCTCGAAGTTCAAAGCCCCAATGGTTCTTCAGCATACCGATTCTTTTACGTAAATGATTTTTTTTCGGAGCTTTTGTAAGATAGCGGTGCTTTCACTCAATAAAAGTTGTTAAGATAATTAATTAATATATTATAGTTTACATCCTATTCAAGATTACAAAACCATATAGGTACTCTACCCTTCTACGCACACGTCACAATCAGTTTCTGACCAACCACGTTAAGACATCTTTCAACCAAATACTAATACGTTACAAACAGGCGTTGAAAATAATGTAGCGTATATTCTTCTTTTACTAACTTACATCTTACAGGTTCTAATTAATTCCGCCAGGGCCGGACTGTCCCGGGGTGCAGAGGTGTAAATGCACCCCGGGCCAAACGCCTCCCAGGCCAAATGATTCAAAAAATATTAAGATTTTTATCCTTCATTTTTAAATATAATTTATAAAATTTTCAAAAAATAAAAAATTTTTAAAACAAGAGCAAAGACCGAGGCAAAGACAAACGCAATTTTCCTCCTAACTTCTTAAATTTATTTAAAAACGAGTGCTGTTAAAATTTGTGCACTTTCCCTTCTAAACCAGGCCATTTGGTTACATCGCACCCCGGGACAAAATCTTCAGTCCGGCTCTGAATTCCGCCATTTCTTGCATGATCCTTCCGTTTAATTCAAATTTGTCGTCATACAAGGCAAGTTTTGAGTACGGAAATAAGTGATAATCAACCAGAAGAACCAGAATGCGAAAGTATTTCATATTGTAGTTCGGCCATGCTGAAATAACATCTTTTTTCCATGGGCTTCTCAGTTTCTCCATTTAGAGCTAGACGCCATTACCTTTCCGGTAGACGGGCTTCATTTTGTCTTTTTTGGAGTGAGTGGGGGCATAGTGATGTATCCTTGTGTCACCAATTGTCAAAAAACTACGTCCAAAATTCTTCTCGAACACTGCAACTAGTAGATGTTCGCCTTTGCTCTAACATGAATAAATGCAGCACTCGTCTTCTGCAAGGTTTCTTCATGTACAATTTATTATGCAAAATAAAGCTCGGTTGAGATGCCTGTGGCCCTTGTTTTCGTTGATTTCGGGCAACAAAGCTGATTGTGGAGTTTCTAACGTGGTGACATCCGACGCTTATTTTGTTCACCCAATTTAGACATGAATTTCCTCTAATTACTTGTAATTCTCTCCGTTTCTAGCTTTTACACAAAACACTTCTGCTTAAGTAACTGTCAAACAACTCCTTCGTTAAACTCCTACGGGCTCATAACTGTACATATTAAATTTTTACTAATTTTAACTTTTATGTGAAATAGTATCAGAAAAGTATAAATTACTTGTTTTCTAGAGTGATTCTGGCGGACCACTTGTACATTCAAAAAAACTAATTGGAATAGTATCATGGGGAATAGGATGTGCAAGACCGAAGAGACCTGGCGTTTATACATCAATAGCACATCCCGAAATCAGAAATTTTATAGAGCAGATATCTGGTGTGTAACTAAAAACTCGATTGGATAACTTGGTTTCTGTTATAAATTTTTGAGATGCATGTTTATTACAGTATGATGATTTTTTTAAGAAATAAAGAAAACTTAAATTCTTTGACTATAAAAGAAAATTCGAAAAGAATAATTTCTCTTCCAACTTATTGCTTATACTCAGTCATACAAAAAATAGTCCAAAGAAGGTATAAAACGTTTGATTTTCCCTTCTTCTGCCAAAAATAAGATATCAGTCACCATAGCTATAATATAACAATGATACTGTATTGGTTTTTGTGTTAGCCAAAACACGTGAAAGCAAAGTAACCGTTAAAAATTAACTGAACATTCAACAAAGCCTAACATGTCGGTATAATTGAGAGACATGACTACCAACATAACGCCAAAAAAAAAAATGAAAATCGAAGATACGTAACCCGCGGAAATTCAAAATTCGCCATACTTTTTGAATAGCCTTTGTATTATTGTTAAATGGAATCTCAATCAAAGTAGTTCAAAAGTAAAAACATCCAAATTTTAACGAAAAAATACACGATTACGACTTGGCAATTGCACAATTGGCATTTGGTCTAACTTTTGGTAATAATGTGGCTCCTGTGGAACTTCCCGTTTGGAATGAAAGGGCACTACGGCCAAGGTGAGTGGATGGAAATTTTTTTATCACGGGGGACCAAAAGTCACACAAAAAATAGTCCAAAGAAGGTATAAAACGTTTGTTTTTTCCATTGTTTTGTGGAACATATTATATCAGACACCATAGCTACAACGTAAGATGGATAATCTATTGGTTCTGTTTTTGTGTTATTTATTCTGATATAGAGAACTTATTATAGGTGCATTACCTATAGTAACGGCTACCACTATCAAAATTTACAAAACAACGGGCTAGAATCACTTACGATAGGTGGATATTGTTTAAAAGGAGTAATGAGTTAGTAACTTATGGTCTATCTTGTGCAAGATTAGGTATCAATGAATCATTAATAAAAAGGTAGAAACTGTAATTGTACAGTGTACTTACAATGTACGCATAGTTCAAAATCGTGAAACAGCTCAGTTCATAATGGAATTAAAAGGTCTTTTTCTAACAAGACTGCTCTCTTTTACAATTGGTGAGTACCAGTCAGATACTTTTTCTGATTCTGTTCATTTTTCTGTAAATACAAAATTTTACTGTTTTAATTTTTCAGTAAAAAAATGATACTTATATAAATTCTTTTCAATGTACAAATATGATGTGATACATCTATTTGTAAAAGGTTTTAATTTAAAAATTTTCAATAAATTTTTTCACAATCGAAGTCAACCAATTAACTTTGATATTGCCCTACCCAGAAAAAACTTACTTCAGCAATACTTATCATAAAATTTGGATGTTGGTACATGAAATTTCATGAATAATAACTTTCTAATTAATAATTGACTTATTCAACCATGTTTTTGAAAAGATGGCCTCAGAGCTTATGAGATCCTATTCTGTTTATACATTAAATAAAAATAACTAATATCTGCAGGCTTATCAACAATGGTAACTGCATACCGATATCCTTCAGCTAATTCAAAAGTAACAGGCGGAAGTGCTGCTGATATAAAGGATTACCCTTATATGGCCCAAATGTTGCTTTGGGGTGAATTTTATTGCGGTTCTGCTATTATTTCAAATGTGTGGATTATTACAGCTGCACATTGTACAGCGGGGTACGTATATCTACTTGCTCTACTTCTAGTGGGTGATTCGGATTAAAAATCATGCTTTTGAACTGAAAATAATGATTCATTTTATTCGTATTCACTTAAGAGTAGGTAAAGAGGCCTCCAGTACCCTCTACAATCGAATAGCGCAAGTATTTGTTTTGAATCAGCACGGATACAGGTTTCAATGTATTAGTATTTCTTTTAATCTAACAGGAGTCGATGCTGGATTATATGAGATAAATTTTTGAAAAGTTTTTCGTTTCTCAATAAAATAACTATCTTGCGACAAATTGGTAATGGCCGAGCGGCACGACCTAGAGGTTTAGACCAGGGATGTAACGGAGGTAGTTTTATCGGAACCGAAGGCGGAGTCGGAATTTTTAAATTTGCTTTATCGGAGTCAGAATCGGAGTCGGAATCAGAGTCGGAGACAGGGTCAGAAGTGGTGGCATGAGAGAGAATTTTTATTTAAGGACAAATAAAACATTATTTAGTCAAATTTTTTTCATTTCAATTTTCAATTATAAAATAAAACACAAACAATGAAAAAATAATTGACGATAGAGTGCTCAGTTCACGTAGTGGGATTCGGGGGGATTCCCCACGCGACATGTATGAAGTTCATACTATGAACCTGTTCATAAGAGTCCACACAGGCCGCCGCTATGTTATGCTTCGACCTCCGATTTAAAAGTGTCGGAGCCGAAGTCGGAACCGAAGGTGTAATAATAATCGGAAGTTCCCACTTAACGGAACCCGAGTCGAAGCTCCGTAACATCCCTGGTTTAGACCATTACTTAGCATTCGGGAAACCGTCGGTTGGATTCTGGGTCCATCTGCCTTGATCCAAATTTTTGTGTGGTTTCCTTGGATCACTTAGGTTGATGCTGGGGCAGTAATATTCCACATATAATCTTTCATTCCCTTCAGTCTTCATTTCGCCCGTCTCATATTTCTCACACGAACCACCACCTACCCATTCCCACGATTCCTGAAAGGCGACTGAAGAGGGTCTTCCACCCTACCTTCCGGAGCAGCCCGCCCACTAGCAATACTGGCTAGTGGGAATGAAACACCCAAAAGGTTTTTTTTTTTGGAGTAGCTTCATAACCTTTCGCTAGCATGAGCGGCGACCTCCTTCAGAGGTTCTTCCGTCTCCGGTGTTGGATGTGGATTGACTTCAATCAATATGAACTCGCATCCAGCATTGCAGATGAAACGACTTCCGAAGAAGCTGGTCATTTGTACTAGCGAAACGTTAGGAAGCAACTCCAACCAGCGACGGCCTTTAGAGCCGGATGAGGACGGCATCAGTTCAATTGTGTTGCGATTTGTAGAATCCTGATATTTAGAATAGAATATTAAGAACTAAAACTTAGTTGCAGTGAAATTTCCTAATTCATTGAAAGCTGTTTTAATTTTTGTTTAATACGGGTAGATCATTGTTACTGGTCATTGCAGCAATGATTGGATCCGATCGTGAATTTTGCTATTTGATAAAACCGTTTATATTATTTTTTATTGTTCATTAGCACCACATCTTTCTCTATTTCGGTACGTGCCGGTTCGGATTGGATTGGAAATGATGGAATCTCAATTAAAGTAATTGAAAAGAAAGAACATCCAAATTTTAACGAAAAAATACACGATTACGACTTGGCAGTTGTACGATTGGCATTTGCTCTAACTTTTGGTAGTAATGTGGCTCCTGTGGAACTTCCCGTTTGGAATGAAAGGGTTTTTCCTGGCACTACGGCCACGGTGAGCGGATGGGGATCTATTTATCACGGGGGACCAAAACCAAATCAATTGCATGCCGTTGATTTGCCAATAATTGAACCACAAGAATGCAAGCAGATTTATAATCCGAGAGAAATCACTGACAGAATGTTATGTACATTATACCCAAGAGGAAGCAAAGATGCATGTGCAGTACGTATTCTATGGTCAGCTTCGCCGGGATTCGTTTCAGCAAGTAGATATCCATATATTTAAATGGACCTTGTTGGAGCATAATCCTAAAATGTAGCATCGTACTATAGATGGCGTTTTCCGCGCCATTTGTGGTATTTTCGTATTCTATGGTGATCCCTATAATGGACCAAAATTAGAAAACTGCTAGTTAGAAGACTAATTGGCACCTTTCTTTTTTCTATCCTAAAACAACCTTTACCATTCCGGAAAACTAAAAAATCCTGCATCTCCATTTGCTCCTTATCTATGCTTACCTCTGTCACTGCTGTTTGTGTTTCTAATATTTTGGGCAAATTTGAATCTAAATTTTCAGTTCTTTTCCTGTACCACATTTTTCAATCGTTGATAGTTATTATTTAACGTACGTTATTTAAAAAAAACATTGACTTCATCAGATGATTATTTCATGGCAAATCATCACCTGATCATACAATTTTAAGCCCTTTAAATACCACCAGTAGATAGTAAAGTTACCAACGTTTGTAAGAGTAGCTACCTGCAAGCTTATAATAGCAAAACATTTTTCTTATTTAGGGAGATTCAGGAGGTCCTTTGGTTGCTAAGGGCAAGCTGATTGGAGTTGTTTCATGGGGTGCAGGATGCGGTTTCCCAAGCCTTCCATGTGTATATACGTGCATACCTCCCCTAAGAAGTTACATTTTTGCAACCACCGGAGTTTAGTAGAATTGATATTTCACAATAATTGTTTTTAAAAATTGTCGTTAAAGTCCCTATATCGTAATGGAAGTACCTATATATATATTGTAGTAGAAAAAAATAAAATTAAATGGTAATAGAAAGGAACATTTAAGTTTTATTATCAATAGTCCACAATTTATACCGCCATTACTTGTCATACTTTTGGTGATTATATTACGAGTTGAAGCATCATTGATGTGATGGTAATTGCCCTAAATTGTAACCCTTTTGTTATCTTTAGTTCTCTATTTAAAGCTGGTTATCTACGAAGCTGATAATACTGTAGCTAAACGTTTGGGAGCCTTATGGAAGCTGACTGATCCGAACAACGTTGATCGGCTAGATTAAGTCAAAATTTCGACTTCAAGTCAAGAGAATGCTGTATTATGTGTCTAATAAGGACACCCAAATTTAGGCTGGACCACTTTTGTGTCTTTAATGTCCTCATTTATGAAGACAGATTCAAGTTCACGTAGCGAATGTCTAAGGAGAGTTTTCACGCACTTGCAGCGTATGCACATGTCACATTAGATCCATTAATAGCGGAAAGTATTATAATGACTCCAAGACTTATTTGACTCTTGTCAAATCGCGTTGTGACATCAGTTGATATTACTATACTCATTTATACTTACCCGATCTTCATTGCCCAAATGTCATCCTTCCGGCTTCGTGGACAACCAGCCTAAGGTGTTTCCATATGCAATTTTTTTTACGAATATGTGTACAACAAGCGACAAACAAGTTCCTACCGAGAAATCGTGCATCGTACAACAATCGCCTACAGTACTAAACGGAGCACAAAAATGTTATTAAATTCGCTGGAAATGAAACAAATGCCAATAAACCAATTTTATTGCTAACATGTTTACCTTACCGACAATGAAAAGAATACTTATTCGTCAGATAGTGCTTACATATAAAATGTCCTAGTGACGGAAAAAATTTTTGTGTTATAAACAGAACGTTCATTTTTTAATAGCCAACTCAGCACTTGCCTATTACCATAAGAAATATAGTATTGTGAAAGAAATGAAGTGTTATTATCTTGTTCTGTTATCTGCAGTTTCACTTTGGAATACTGTGGAATCTCAAAGAGGTGCGTATGATATTCATTAAATATAAAACTGCCATTTTCAATAACTTTTTTAGAAGAAAAGGGGATCACGATCTCAAAGTATCCATTTATGGTTCAAGTAAACTCAAAGGACAAGAGAGTTTGCGAAGGTTCAATTATAAGTGCACAATGGATTTTAACTGCAGCCAGTTGCATAAAAAGGTAAATTTTCTACAAATGTATAGATCTTTACTTTTATTACTAACTAACTTTTCCTCGCGGTTTCGCTCGCAGAAATTAATATTGTTTCTCCATAAAGCCTTTTGACTCCTAATTGACCCTTACAACGTTTTAATTCTATGTAATGTCGCCATCTTAGATTTCAAATACAAACGTAGCAACAACATTTCATCCTTAAGGGTTGATTTTTTAAAATTGCCAAA